CTCCCTAGTTCTGACACTAAAGGTGTGCACCACTGTGCTCAGCTCCCCATTGTTAGATTTCTGAGGCAGGGTAAAGAGACAGAGGGCAGAAAAGGATCAGGGTCTGACCCTCAACAGATAATACTGTTTATTAATGCACACAATGAGAGGCAGCCTTTCTTTGTGGGGAATTGAGGGGTCTGCCAGGAGAAAAAGCTGGCTGTAACCCTTTATAGGGGTGGGATTGAGGGGGTTGGAAATAAAGAGATTGTTGTTGTAGGAGACTGTGTGTGAGTCTGCACGCCTTCCTGAAATTGTTTACCCAAAGTGAGACTGGCTGTCCCAACAGACATTTTCTTCTGGGCTGACTGAACAAGGTCAGCTGTAATCTCACAGGAATCCTCTTTTTTTATAAGCAAGGTGCTCTATCACCCATAGGGCACTGTGTAAAAGTCCAGAGTCTCTTCTGAGACACAGGGCAATCTGTTGATTGTAATGCCTTGTAAAATAAAAAAGCAAATTATATGCTTCTAGCATCTAATGGCATAGAATATACATTACTACTCAAAAAGGGAGGAAGGGAGGCCTAGTGAAAAATACTGAACCAAAGTAAGACTGAGATCCAGGAGGGCAAATACCAAATCCTGTAGCTTATGTCAATATCAAAGGGTTTAGACGGCACTGTTCCTCCTCCTTTTATACCTGCAGCATACGTGCCTCTCTTGGGTTGGTTTCACTGCCTGTATGCAGCCCTCCTTGGCAGATACCCCACAAGTCTGGCATTGTCAATATCTTGGGGTCTCTACTACAACCCAGGCTCACTTTTACATTTTACTCAATGGACTCTCAGGGCATTCATGCAAGGACCTCCCTGCCACAAGCTGCCTGGCCTCCGCAACTTTCTGAGACTGTAGAGGAAGAATCATCACTTCTTCACTCTTGGATCTTTTAGACTTTTAAAGCCAGTACCACATGGTTGACATTACAAAGTTCAACTACCAGCTTGGAATGGTTCCCTCTTGAACCACATTAGTGGTAGTTTTTGTTTTCTATTTCTTTCTAGGAGCAGAAAATTCCTTAGGCCTTTTCCTTTTGTAAGTTGGAAGCTTAGCTGAGTAGGGTCTTTCCATGAAGGGCACCCTTTGTTCCAGTGCACTATTTAATGACATTAATCTCTTTAACACATTACAAACTCTTCCAGCATATGTCTTGGCTTTGACATTAAGTTTCTTAGTTCTTTCTTTTTTCTTCTCCAAACTGTACATTTTGTATTGTATTCTTCTCCACTTGTTCTTTTTCATTATAGACCTGTATAAGTATTAATAACCACACCACACATTCAAATATTTTACTGTCTTAAAATTTCCACCAAGGTGGGTGGTGGTGGTGCACACCTTTAATCCTAGCACTTGAGAGGCAGAGGCAGGTGGATCTCTGTTAGTTCCAGCCTGGTCTACAAAGTGAGTTCCAGGACAGCCAGGGCTGTTACACAAAGAAACCGTGTCTCAAAAACAAAAACAAAAAACAAACTCCACCAAAGAAATTAGTCCATTACTTTTTTTTTTTTTAATGTGTGGGTGTTTTGCCTGCATATATGTATATGTACCACATGCATTCTTGGTGCCTGAGGAAGCTAGAAAAGGATATCAGATCCCTTAAAGTGGAGTTACAGACAACTATAAGTTGCCATATGGATGGTGGGAATTGAACCTGGGTCCTCTGGAAAAGTAGTTAGTACTCTTAATCACTTAATCTTCAGCTTTTATTCTATTACTTTTAAATCTAGCTTTGGACAAGTTCTCAGAACAGTGGCAAAAGACAGCCATATTTTTGCCAAAATATCACCAGAATACCCTCTAGTCCAGTTGCTAATATTGTTTCCCTCTGAAACTTTTTGAGCTGGCCACCACAGACAGCATTGCTCCTGACAGTACTGTCTTTCAGGCTTCTACTATAATGATAGCCCTTTAAGCTCTGCTTATAGCTTTTACATACTTTTTGAGTCCAAAATTCCCAAATCTTCCACATTCTTCCCCAGACCAACAGGTCAGGTTCTTCATAGCAACATCCTTCTGTTTAGTACTGACTTCTCTATTAGTCTTTTCTGTTGCTGTGAAAAAGTACCATGACTAAAGCAACATATAGAAAGGACTTTATTTGGGCTTATGGTTCTAGAGGATTAGAGTCCAGAATGGTGGCAGGAGCAGGAAGCTGAAAGTTTACATCTTGAACTGTAAGCATGAAGTAGAGAGCATGAATTGAGTGAGACTGTAAACACTTAAAGCCTGCCCCTAGTAATGTACTTCCTCCAACAAGGCCTCACCTCCTAAACCTCCCCAAATAGCATTACTGGGGACCGTGTTCAAGTGCCCTAGACTATGAGGGACATTTATCATTAAAACACTTATAACCTGTGTATTCACATCCTGACCTCAACCCACTGAAGGGTCTCTGATTGTCTGGGGTGATCTGAGCACTTGGTAGGATCCTAGAAGGAAGGCCTATGCTTTATAATCTCCTTTGTATAATGCTAGTGGGTCTCCCTCAGCACATGGTGGGAGTATTGGTAGAGAAGTCTGCCTTCTATCACTTTTTTGTTTTTATTTTTACTTTTTTGAGACAGTCATTCAAATGTGCTGCCTGCTTCAGCCTCCCAGTCAGCTGGGACTACAGGGTTGTGCCAATGTATCCCATTCCCCATCATCCTTTAAAAGAGTCCTGTTAGTCAGGTTAGATTAACACAGGAAATACTATGCATGAAGGCCACTTGGCCTGTCTGTGTTGATCAGGTACTTAATGGGTCATGGAGGGCTGCTACAGTCAGGATGTGGCCAGAGGCAGACTCAGGACAATGGGATAAGACCATGAAGGCAGGCAAGGATTCTTGTGGTTCCTGGAGCTGAGTGACTTGGAAGCCTAGGCAGTGGGACATAATCACTGACTATGTTGAGTCCTACATGGGAGAAGATTGATTTGTGCCCTGAGAACATGGGAGACATTAAAGGATGCATTGGCAATCATTTCTAGAGTCCATGGGAAGCTTTGCTCACTACCTCAGTCATTTCTAGAAACTGGGTTTTCTGCATTCTATGCTCCGAATGATAATGCACATAAAAAACGTAGAGAGGAACAAAAGTGACACCTTTGTTCCTATAGACGTCAGTGAGGTGAGTCAGCCCCAGTCTCGGTGAAATTTCCATTTCTGATGAGGAATAAACAACTTGGAGTGTGCAGGGAAGGCGGGCTGGGCAGTTTCAGGGTTCTGTTTGTCCCTCCCAAAGACCAGGCTCTTCTGGGTGGGCTAGCACCCTTAGTCTTGGCAAGTGATGGCCCTCTTGAGTTTGAGTAGAGTAAAACCTTGCCGGTGCTTGCGTTAGTGTCCAGCATGTCTGGGTATTCACAAATGTGCCTCTCCGCAGCACAGGAAGTCCTTGAGAACCTCAAAGGTCGCTGGTATCAGGCAGACAATCCACCTGCAGACCTGCTGCTGACTGAGGATGAGTTCCTTTCCTTCCTTCACCCTGAGCACAGCCGGGGCATGCTCAAGTTCATGGTCAAGGAGATTGTTCGGGACTTGGGTAAGGCCTGTCTCCACTGTGGCCCTGTTGTAGGCCTGGGGGTGACCAGTGGGCTGGGGTCACTACACTGCTGGAGGGATAAGCCCCAGGGTAGGTGGGCTTGTCCTGTTTTAGTTTCTAAGGAAGTTCTTAAGTGATACTCAGTGAGTTTTAGGTAAAGCCCAAGCTGAGCACTACCTTCCTCCAACCCTTTATAGACCAGGATGGCGATAAGCAGCTGTCTCTGCCTGAGTTCATCTCCTTGCCTGTGGGCACTGTTGAGAACCAGCAAGGCCAAGACATTGACGACAATTGGGTGAAAGACAGGAAAAAGGAGTTTGAGGAACTGATTGATTCCGACCATGATGGGATTGTGACCATGGAGGAGCTGGAGGTGAGCAAGGGTGCTTATGAATGTTGGTGTGTTCCAGGAATGGCCCTGTGTTTGGAGGATGTGGGCTAATCCTACAGTAAGTTCCCAAAGGAAAGGGGGCTTGCCTACATGATGACCTGAGATAATGGGCATCAGCATTAGTACTCAGAGTGAAGAGATGGGAAGGTCTTGTGAAACCTGTTGACTATGGGCTATTGGCCTTTAGAAAATGACTCCCTAGTCTGTGGAAGGCATCTGGGAATTCATTTTGGTGCTAAAGATGAAACCCGGGGCCTTTAAACATGCTAAACAGTTGTTCTATCACAGAGCTACATATTTAGCCCTGTGTTAAGGGATTCTTAAGGCCCCTTCTGTATGGGGCCTTAAGAGAAAGCACATAGTAGCCCCATTTCTGAAGTGACCTCTGGGCTAGCATGTAGGTGTGGGGGCTGTGGGCACAGGGCCTCGCTATTGATAAGGTGTCAGGTATAGGCCACTGACTTATGTCTGGATCTCACAGAACTACATGGACCCCATGAACGAATACAATGCCCTCAATGAAGCCAAACAGATGATCGCCATTGCTGATGAGAACCAGAACCACCACCTGGAGCCTGAGGAGATTCTCAAATATAGCGAGTTCTTCACTGGCAGCAAGCTGATGGACTATGCTCGCAATGTGCATGAGGAGTTCTGAGCATGCCCTCAACCCTCAGTTGGGGCCAGGCCGTCAGTCTCCTGTCTGACCCTTCCTACACCTTGAGGGACCTGTGGTCTAGTGAGACTTGTGGTTGACTGGGTCCCGGGTGGGTTTGAAATGCTACCTACCCTGTGCCTGGGGGCTACCATGACCCTGAAAAGCCCTGTCCCAGAACCTTCTTTCTTCTGCTGTGTTCATATGCTCTGGCTCAGCTCCTGCCACAGCATGGCCCAGATTTATTAAAGATATGCTTAATAGGCATTGTGTCCTCTCCAGCATGTTTCTGAGGCAGCAGCCTTTCTGTACCAGTCATGGGCTAAGCTGCATTTGCTTGACCAAATCTCTCTCAGTTGCTATTCTACTTCTGAGAACTGCTTGGAGTGGTTGGTTCAGATGAGAATGCTGTACATATCAGGGCCAGGAACTCTGGGCCGGGCCCCTCCGGGGCTCACTGTACTGTAGGAAATAAATACAACTCTTACAATTTTCTTGAAAACTGAAAGACACATTTCTCTAGAAGTAATCAGCCCCACAGTTGGTGCTACCCCCTTGGTAAGGTCTGGTAGGCTGTTGGGGTAGGGTCTTCCTCAAACTCCTCAGAACCTTGCAGGATCCATCCTTCCTTATGAGAAAGTGTAGATATTGGTTGTCACAAAAATCATTACAATAGAATTGCCTTTTTCTCCTATTTTCTTTTTCCTTCCCTCCTTCCTGCCTGCCTTCCTTTTTTGTTTGTTTTTCTTTTTCTTTTTCTTTTTTTTTTTTCCGGAGCTGAGGACTGAACCCCTTGTTTTTCTTTATGTAGCCCTGGCTATCCTGGAATGTAGAGATCCACCTGCCTCTGCCTCCTAAGTGCTGTGCTTAAAGGCATGTGCCACCACTGCCCAGCAACACATTGTCATTCTTCAGATGAAAAAAGAGAACAGTGTGGCTAGGTAGCTTACATTAGAAGTGTCTGAGGTAGACACTGGTTAACTGGGTTTATAGCTTTCAATAAACATTGATTCTCCTCATGGTAGAAGTGAAAATAGGCAAGACATGAAAGAGAATGATAGAATTTCATGCTTTGGAAAGGTTAAGTGGGATCAAGTTGGGTCTTGAGGTTGGGATCCGCAGCAGAGTCTGAGCTGGCTAAGGTCCCAGGCTAGTGTTCTTGAAGGTCTGTTTTGGTGCTCAGGGCCCCTGCTTTGGTATTAAAAAGGAACAGAGCAGGTGTGTCAGGACAGTTGATACCTCATCAAAATCCTAGGCCTGCCCTAGATTACCTGTATGACACAGTTTTTTTTTTTTTTACAGGAACCTACTTTTGTGTGGTGTGTTGGGGACCAGGGTGGGTGGTGGAGCATGGCTCCTCATAGTCAATGGAGTGTCGTGGTACCTGAGCTGGTTTCTAGGCAAAGATAAGACTTTAGAACTCAGAATGATAATGTGGACAAGCAGATCCCAGCCTCTGAATCTCCCAGAGTGGTAGACACACTGCTCTGGAATACAGACCTCTTAGCAGACTATGAGACTTGACCACCATCCTGCTCCTGCTCATGGCCTTGACCTGGAGTGTCACATCTGAGGTGGCATCTTGAAGGTCTCCAGGTGAAGGTGTAGTACAGCCCTGGAAGCCAGCTAGATACCTGGCAGGTAGCTGTTATGTAATAGCACCTGGTCTTTCAGAAGTTCTGATGACTTCCAGTCTGGTACTCAAGGGGCAGCAGCCTGTGGGAGTAGCTTTAGGTCCCTTATCTTGTTGAACTGAGGGGATGAGTAGGGCCTCATTCTAACCCCTAGTGCCTTAGCCCAGAACTGTGGTCTCCTCTGCAGTTTTTAGGAACACCAGCCCAGTAGATACAGTGATGCCAACTACTGCAAGTGATTTTTCTAGTACCATGAAAACTCAGTTTCAGTGTGGTCCTGTATGGAAGCAGCTTCAAGCAGAAGGGGCTGCTGTCCTGTATAGAGCCTCTGCAGGGAGTCCTGTGGTGATGAAATATTATGTATCAAATAAAGTTTGCCTGAGGATCAGAGGACAGAGCCAGCCACTAGATTAAACATAGAGGCTAGGCAGTGGTGGCACACACCTTTAATCCCAGCACTTGAGATCTCATACCTTTGCTACCAGTATTTGGGAAGCACACATGCCATTAATCCCAGCACTAGGCTGGGTGGAGAAAGGCATATATAAGGCACATGAGGAGACAGGAACTAGACCATTCAGCTGAGGACTCAGAGGCATTCAGTCTAAGGATTCATGGAGATAGGATCTTGCCTTCCATTCAGCCTGAGAATTCGGTAGTGATGAGAAGTTTCTCTAGTGGCTTGTTCCTTTATCTCTGATCTTTCAGCATTTACCCCAATATCTAGCACTGGGGTTTTATTAAAAGGCCAATTAGGATTCGTGCAACAGAGTCCCTAGGAATGGAGGGGCACATCTAGGCTTCTCTGCACCTCTATTCATCTGTGTGCTGATGCTAAGTTCCTTGTCCAGGTGTGACAGCCAAGGACAGCAGAGTTCTGAGGGGAGGAAGGGGACCTTAGAGTGGAGTGCTGACCAGTACCTCCAAGCTACCTGGCCTCAGGAAAGACCATGTGTCAAATGTGAGTTTTACCTTCTTTTCTGCTTAGGAAAGGACTGGGGAATGCTGCCCAGGATGCCCTGAGGATTCTTCTCCAGGACTTTCACTGTACTTCAAAAGCATGGGGAGGGCAGTCTCTGTGACCTCTTGGCCCACTCTAGGTTCTTCCACCTATTACCTAGCCCAGCCTGACCTTCCAGGTTAGGAATTTCCATAAGAGGGCTGGGGACTTCTTTCACATGTGATCTTGGGTGGGGGATTTCCAGCCCCAGTCCTGTATCTTGTTCTGCAGCAGGACTATCCCTGCACCTTTTTTTTTTTTGGCTTTTTAACAGACTTCATCTAATCCAGGCTGGCCTGAAATTTGCAGTCATCATGCCTTTCTCTCCTGGAAACTGGGATTACAGGTGTGCACCACTGTGCACAGCTAGCATGCAACTTTCCAATTAATTTGGAAATTGATAATTATATCATGTCACAATTTATTACACAATGTGTAATAAGGACACTGCCTCCCTGTTAACCCATTTCCTCCTTCAGTGCAGTAATTTGTATATAAGAAAAGAAAGTCTGTGACACTTGTAATCCCAGCATTTGGGAGATGGAGGCAAGAGGGTGAGAAGTTCAAGGTCATAAAAATGGTTCAACGGTTAAGAGCACTTGCCAGAACCCAAATTTGGTTCCCAATATCCACATCAGGATATAGTTATAGCTGCCTATAACTCCAGCTTCAGGGGGATCAGACACCTCTGGCCTCTTTGGGCACCTGTACCACATGCATATATTCCCTACACACACATATACACAATTAAAAATAAACTAAATCTTTTTTTGTTTTTGTTTGTTTGTTTTTTTCAAGACAGGGTTTCTTTGTGTAGCCATGGCTGTCCTGGAACTCACTCTGTAGATCAGACTGGCCTTGAACTCAGAGATCCACCTGCCTCTGCCTCCTGAGTGCTGGGATTAAAGGAGTGTGCCACGACTGTCTGGCACTAAATCTTTAAAAAAAGAAAGAAAGAAAAAGAAAAGGAAAGAAGGAAGGAAGAAAAGATTGAAACATGGCTACAGAATAAATTCAAATGTCAGCCTGGGCAACTTAGTCAAATTCTGTTCAAAATAAAACATGAAGAGGGCTGTGGATGCAGCTCAGTGGTGGAACACTTACCCAGCATGTAAAAGAACTTAGGTTCTCAGTACTACAAAAAGGGGGGTTAAAAAAAAAAAGAAGTCTGTTCACACTGGAGAGATGACTCAGTAGTTAAGCTTATACTGTTCTTTTGGGGTGTTTTTGTTTTTGAGATAAGGTCTCTATTACGTAGTCCTGGCTGTCCTGAAACTTACTATGTAAATTAGGCAGAGTTGGCCTGCTTCTGGCTCCTAAGTGCTGGGATTAAAGGAGTGTGCTACCATGCTCAGTAGTAAAAGCAAGTGTTCTTGCAGAGGACTTCAGCTCCTAGCATTCATGTTGGTGGTTCACAATTGCCTATAACTCTAGCTCTTCTGACCTCCTTGAGTATTATGCTTACCATATAATATGCCCCCCCAAAAGAAAAATATGATTAAAAATAAAATCTTTAAAAAATGCCTGTGTGAATGTGTATGTATCTCTGTGTGCCTTCATATGTATATGTTGGGTATCTGCACCTCGTTTCACATGCCCCAGTGGCCCCAAGCACTTCCTAACTTGTTATGGGACTGCACCTGTGTCATATATACAGGAACACAATTATAAAGCATGCTCACATATCTTCCTGCCTCTCCGCCTACTCTTCTCGCCCCTCCCCCATAGCTCTTATAGCCACATCCTGCAAGGAAAAACCCAGACTCCTGTGAAGGCAGAGCCCAGACAAGGATGTATGTGTGGGTTCAGCAGCCCACAGCACTTCTGCTCCTGGGACTCACATTTGGAGTTGCAGCCAGGCCCAACTGTGTTGAAGATACCTACCCCAGTGGTCACAGGTGCTGTCATGAGTGCCAGCCAGGTGAGTGGCCTGGCTTTGGGATGTAGTGGCAGGGTAGGGGAGGGATGATTCTTGGAGGACAATGATGGAGACACAGGTACAAACATCCTGGGGGTAAATGAATTCAGGTGATGTCACAGGTGATGCTCCATGGATTCTGTCCCAAGCCTGAGACAGAGCCTACCAAGAGGCTGGGTGCTGTCTCCACAGCCCTGGGCCTTAGCTGACCTGTTGAACTTTCTGGGCTCTACTACAGGCAATGGTATGGTGAGCCGCTGTGATGGCACCAGGGACACTGTATGCCACCCATGTGAACCTGGCTTCTACAATGAGGCAATCAATTATGAAAACTGCAAGCAGTGTACACAGTGCAACCAACGTGAGTTCCGCCTACCCTGACTCACTGTCAAGCCCAGCAAGGAAGCAGCTACAATGGGTGCCCATATTTCCCATATGATTGAGGAAGTAACTCCAAGCCATGATGAATCCTGTTCACTAAGGGGTCCTTAGTAGCCAGGGCATTTCTTTGGAGACACTTTTGTCGTCTGGGGTGAAGGCTCAGCCAGGGCCATATGGAACTGGAGTGGGGCACTTGTTGGCCATGTGAACCTGCCCAAGTTGTCCTAGTAGATAAGGCCCTGGTATGGAGGTTGAGAGTATCTGAGGTTCTGATTCAGGTAATATAGGCTGGAGATAGGTTGGGGGAGGATAAAAAAGGGAGGCCACAATTGCCCTGTGCCAGCTCAGTAGCTTTCTGCAGGGCTTCATGACCGGGAGGAACAGAGTAGCCAGGGAGAGGGTCTTAGGAGAGGAGAAGCCTAAAGTCATAGTTCCCTCAGCTTCAACTTTGTCCCTGTGCCAACTGAGGAGAGGCAAGTCCATTTTGCCCTGCCTTGTTCATAGGTCAGGGCTGGGAAAGCTTCATTCACAGTCTCTACCTGATCTTCCCTAGGAAGTGGGAGTGAACTCAAGCAGAATTGCACACCTACTCAGGATACTGTCTGCCAGTGCAGGCCAGGCACCCAACCTCGACAAGACAGCAGCCACAAGCCTGGAGTTGGTGAGCCTCAGGGGGGCCCCCTACACGAGGCAGGTTCATGTCTATCCATGGCCAGTGTGTGCGAGGTGGTCAGGATCCATGTGTGCTGGCACCTTCATGATAATGGTATAAAGGAGCCATGTTCTCACTTCATACACTGTTACCTCCTCCAGTATCTCTCCATCTAGTCTTGGCCAAAAGCCCCTCTTCTAATGGGTCATACCAAGACTTGTGTCAGTGCCAGTGGGAAGGAAGGAGCTTGCAGAGGTCAAGATTTCCATTCACTTGCACCGGAGAGTGAGCATTAACCCTCCCTTCAGGCCCCACCTCCAGTAGTCTCAGCATCCAGGGCCCACCTAGTAGCATCAGAAAGCTGACTTATGTCTTTGCTGCAGACTGTGTTCCCTGCCCTCCTGGCCACTTTTCTCCAGGCAACAACCAGGCCTGCAAGCCCTGGACCAAGTGAGTATTGTGGCTGGCAGGAACACTGAGGACTGGAGATGTGGAAGGAATAGAACCAGAAAGGTTTGGGCATTTAAGAGCTGGTGTCTAGATGTTCAGAGAACAGAAATCTGTGAGCCAGGGGATCTTCTGACATCCCCTGTGGGGAACCCTGCAAGTGGAGTGGGGGCATGTGAGATCCTAGTCCAGGCCATAGGAACATGTTTGTTCTCAAGTTGTGGTTCTCCAGAAGACTGGAGAAGTATTGGGTGGGATTTGAGAGTACAGAACCCCATCTAGGAGCAGGACAGGGATGGAAACAGGGTGAAGACAGAAACAAACATAGATATGTGGCTTGGGGGTGGAGGTCTTGGCAGAGATGAGGATGACCCAGTACAACTTCTACCATTGTCTCTAGCTAATAGACACCCTCATCCCACAGTTGTACCTTATCTGGGAAGCAGACCCGACACCCAGCCAGTACCAGCTTGGACACAGTCTGTGAGGACAGAAGCATCCCAGCCACACCACTCTGGGAGACCCAGAGCCCTATATCAAGGCCAACCACTGTCCAGTCCACCACAGTCTGGCCCAGGACTTCTCAGTTGCCCTCTACATCCACCTTGGTGGCTCCTAGGGGTAAGGGACGCTGGCCCAAGAGATGAGGGTGAGAAGGTGAGGGTAAGTGAGTTCACTCAGCCTCTCCTCATAGGCCCTGCATTTGCTGGTTTCCTGGGCCTAGGCTTGGGCCTGCTGGCTCCCCTGACTGTTCTGCTGGCCTTGTACCTGCTCCGAAAGGCTTGGAGGTTGCCTGATACTCCCAGACCGTACTGTGAGTACCCACATTGGGCTTAATAAAGCTTACTTCCTAGCGGGATGAGATATACCTCCTCACTGCTTTTTCCTTCTTTGCTTCTCCTAGGGGAAAACAGCTTCAGGATCCCTATCCAGGAGGAACAGACTGACACACACTTTACTCTGGCCAAGATCTGAACAATACCTCAGGAGTGGGTTTTATGGAGCATGGGCAACCCATATCCTGGTGCCTGCCAGTACCCTCCACACCGTTCTAGGTGCTGGGCTGGCTCTGGGCTCTCCTATGTATGCTATGCATACTACCTGCCTGGTGGTACCACCAATAAACATGCTAGCAACTGTGAGTCTGTGACTGGCACTAGGGGGCTGAGGTTGCATCCTCTTCTGGTGGGGGAGAGTTAGGCTAAGGAGAAGGTCCCCTCAGAGAACCACACTTAAGTCACATGTTTGAATAGGGGTATGTAGTACAGGAGGCCTGAAATGCCAAGGGGATGGTACTAAGGGAGCCAACTAGTAGCTTGATGAGCAGTCCAGAGTCTATGCTCTAAGGCAGTGGCTCTCAACCTTCCTAATGCTTCAACCCTTTAATACAGTTCCTCATGCTGTGGTGACCCCCAACCATATTATTATTTTTGTTGCTACTTCATAACTGAAATTGTGTGACTGCTATGAATTGTAATGTAAATATTTTTGGAGATAGAGTTTTACCAAAGGGGTCACAACTCACAGATTGAGAACCACTGCTCTAAGAAAACCTAAGAGTCTTAGCCAAAAGGAAAGGGCCCTGGCAAGCAGAGCCTAAGTACCCTGATCACAAGAGGAGCTCATAAACCATTGTGCCCCTTTTGAACTCGTGGCTCAGGCAGCTAACACAGAGTTATCCTTTCTCTCCAGCCACATGAATGGTGAGAAGTGTTTGATGGTCCTTGGGCATTGACTAGGTACTACCTTAGGAATCTCTGGAAGTGAATGGCCATGGATCCATGTAGCAGCCAATTAGCCAGCTGTGTTGGAAAACTGAAGGCTGCTACTTGAGCCAAATCTCATCTGTCCTGAGATCATGACAAGAACACAGACACTTTATCTAAAACAGACTTGAGGACCCAGGGTCTTATTGCTGCCCTCTACTGTTAAGGAGTTCCAGAAGCAGCATCTGGAAGCACAGGTACCCAGAAGCTCAATGAATTAAAGTCAGAAGGTGCCAAGCTGCTCATGGAAATGGTCAAGCGGTTATGCCTGATCATGTAAGTGAAAACAGAGAGCCCAGATTGGTGTCATGTGATGCATGTTAAGAGTCACTAGATGGCTAAGCTTGGTGGCATATACTTTTAATCCCAACACTGAGAAGGCAGAGGCAGGAGGATCTCTGTGAGTTCAAGGCCAGTCTGATCCACGTAGTGAGTTCCAGGTTGGCCAGAACTACATAGTGAGACCATGTTTTGAAAAAAAGAAAGAAAGAAAGAAGAAAGGAAGGAAGGAAGGAAGGAAGAAAGAAAGAAAGAAAGAAAGAAAGAAAGAAAGAAAGAAAGAAAGAAAGAAGGAAAGAAAGAAAGAAGGAAAGAAAGAAAGAAAGAACCCCAAACAAAAAAAGAGTCACTAGACATTCTGGTGTGGGGTTGGTGCTAGATTGTGTCAGCTGCACTTTGAGGGGGCATAGGAAACATAAGGATCTAAAAAAATGGCTGTTTCCTTATTTCCTGCCTCTTGCCACCCTGAGGCCACTGACCTGGCATTAAAGTAGCACCTTGTTACCCCTCCCATCTTTTACTTGGTTTGCATGTGGCCTGATATGATTTTTGTTTGTTTGTTTTGCTTTTTGAGACAGGGTTTCTCTATGTAGCCCTGGCCATTTGGAACTCACTCTGTAGACCAGGCTGGCCTTGAATTCAGAGATTCTCCTGCCTCTGCCTCCCAAGTGCTAGAATGAATGGTGTGTGCCACCACTGCTGAGCCAGATATGATGATCTTAATCTGCATGCTGGGGCATCCTATTACTTGTAGTCCAAGTCATTGTGAACCAAAGGGTGGCTGGACAAAACTATCTCTGATTCTGGTTCCCCTCCCATCTCTTTCTTCTCATTCTATGACAACATCCAGCTGCCTAAAACCAAAGGAAACACCCACTAAACTACTAAATACCCTTCACTGGGTCCCTATGTAAGCCTGGGGATGGAGCCATAGACCAATTGGCAACCCCCACCCCACAGGGAAGTCCAAGCCTAGAGAGGCCAACAGGAGGCTGGGGAGGGTTGGAAGAAGAATGCTGTGGGGCTTGGGAGGTTAGAGATTGTAGGAAAGAGGTTTTATTCCCACACTAGGCAGGTCATATCTATGTCTCCTGTTTACTGGACACAAGTCTCCAGTTTTCCTGCTGTCTCCTGCTCATTTTTGGGCTCCTTGGGTCCCTTCCCAGATTAAATATCCATGGCCCCACCTGCACAGACACTGGGTTTACTTTCTCTTCATTCTGGTGCTGTCCCAAAGTACATTCTCTATCCCCCTCATCTCAAAAACTCCCTGACTACCTCTCCTTGAGGCCCCATGTCAGCCTGGGGATTTCCTACAGGGTCAAACTGCCAGGACCCTCTGCTGCCTGGAATATACTCACTGAGTCCTATGAAACAAACCACATGGAAATACAAGGAGCTCATAAAATAAAGGAGATAGCAGTGAGCAGATAAAAATCACCTCTACCCACCACCCGGTTATAAAAGCTGCTCATTCTTGGGAGTCCCTTGCAGTGGGTACCTAGAAGAGGGTGGGACAGGAAGTCTGACATAGGTGCTGACATTTACTGATGTCATCTGCTTGAAAACATCTCCCCAGGTATATGATCTGTGTCTTTTGATCTTTGTGGTCTGTGTGTGGTTGGCACAAGAGCACTGTGGAAAGAACCTCTGTGGAGCTCATTAACAGCTTATAGCCTTGCAAGTCTATATCAAGCAGACCATGCCCATGGCTGAGCTTAAACACGACACCAAGGCCAAAATTCTCATGAGATGCCCCCAAGGTACATTGCAAGGCAGTGTTTAGGGGGTGAGTCAATGCTTTGTTATCTTTCCCTGCGGAAGAGGCCATTGCCTAGAGAACAGGGATCCCCAGTGTGAGGATATCATGGTTGGCAGGAGATACCATGTGTATACCGTACACTCCCCAGGGTTGGGGTGATACTATGAAGGCATGGTCCTGGCTGACCTCTTAGATTTTTGTTTGTTTGTTTGCTTGAGACAGGGTATCTTCCCATAACTCTGGCTGTCCTGGAACTCACTATATAGTCCAGGCTGGCCTCGAACTTAGAGATCCACCTGCCTCTGCCTCCCGAGTGCTGGGATTGAAGGTGTGTAGTGTACTACTATGTCCAGCTCCAAATATGGAGTGCTTCACAAATTTTTGTGTCATCCTTGCATAGGGGCCATGTTAATCCTATCCTTGTATTGTTCCAATTTTTGTATATGTGCTACCAAAGTGAGCACCCCCTTAATTTTTTTTAAATGGTTAGGAACATAGCCAATACTGCCCTCAACACCTTTATGTGGAATCAAGGAACACGGTGTCCTTTCTGCCTTTGTACTCAGACCCACCTCCTTGGCCAGGAGCTGTTTGTTTCTCAAAGAAGAGGTTCTGCTGAGGTTAGCCTAGAGTGGAGTACCCAGAGCCCCCTCCCTACCCTGCAGTGACCAGGGCTACCTCTCAGGAGGCTTACACACCTGTGGCCAGAGAACAACAAGGGCTGCACAGCTAGTAACTTCTGACATTTCCTACTTCCTCAGGCTCCTCCAACAGCAGCTTAGAAGGGTGTCAGACCAGGTTTCCTAGGTCTTCCACAATCACAATAGTCTCCACACCTACCACTTGTGGGTATAACCATTGTTATATTAGAGATTCCCATGCTCACTCCCAATATTCCCCAAAGTCCCCACCACGTTTCCCTGTGCTTAGCTTTAGCTGGAAGATGTAGGAAGTAAGGCTGAATAATCCAGAAAGGCTTATAGAGGCAGGGTTCCAGAACCTGCTAGTGACCACATGGAGAAACTGAGGCTCAGAAAGAAAGGATAGTCTCACTATGAGGAGGCCTGAAGGGCTCCATCAGGGACTCCCTTCCTGTTGTCTAGAATTGTGTGTGGAGGTGAACAAAAGTGGCTCCAGAGAGAGCCAAGAGATCCAACCTGGAACTGCCAGGGCTGGGTCTGGGCAGGCCATACGCTTCATGTGCCTGCTAGAAATGCCCAGCTTATGATGATCTTCTCTGAAAGGCATGATATATGCTCTGGACTACCCTCACTGGCTCTCTTAGTTTCCCAAACCCAGAGAAGCTCCCTGGGGTGGAAGAGGAAAGGGTACAACAGTAAAGGGTACCCACAGGCAGTGTGGCAGCAGCACATGTGAATGGGGCATCCTTTTCCTCAGCAGCCTAGCCAGGGTGGGTATGCTGGAGTTGGAAGAGGCTTGTTGGGGTTCAGGAGATGTCAAGGAAGATGATATAGCTTTGTTGCACACTTCACAGAAGGCCTTTACAAGCACCACATGCCTGCCGGAAGATGGAGGTGGAGCTGGGCTGGAGCCCAAGCTGAGGGGTGGGGACAGAGGCAGGGGCGGGGACAAGGCATGTTGGAGCAGGCTGGGGACTACTAAAAATCAGCCAACAGGAAGAAAACTCAGGAGAAACACTATGGGAGCGTGGGCTGTGCTGTGTGGAGTCTCATTGATTTGTATGCTGGACCTAGGTCAGCAGAGCCTGGTTGAGGAACCTAGTTGTGGCCCTGGCAGCTTCCAGCATGGAACTGGCACCAACACGCGATGCTGCAGCCTGTGTGTTCCAGGTAAGCAAGGAGGGGAGCAGGAACCAGGATGTGCAGCAGCTCACACGAGGAGGGTTGGCACAGGGCATATGTGAGTGGGTAGGAAAACTTCTGGAACTGAGGACGAGGTAGAGGGTCCATCTGAGCCACTTGTTCAAGATCAGAAGTGTGGGAGCAGGGGCAACAGGGGCTGGAAACTTTTCCTTCAAGAGGGATCTGGGGTCCAAGGTGAAAGAAGACCATCTTAGGGTCTGCTGGATGGGTCAAACCTTAGCTATCACCAAAGCTACTCTCTGTTTGTGTTGGTGTCCCAACATTCTCCTTTGCCTGATCCACTGTCTGTGACTTAGAGTTCTAGGTGTAGGGCAGTCTGAGGACCCATCAAAGAAAAATATCTCAGCACTTCACCTGCTACCCCTCTGGTATAGAAAGGGTCAGCTCTGAGGGTCCATGTCTCTGTGATAAAAATATAGATAGCAGTGAATGCAGCTGCTGAAGTGTTCCTAGTGCCCTGAGGGACAATATAGGGTGGGAATGGGGCAACATAGGCCAAGGGACCTTAGGAAGCTCCAGGTGACTCTCATATCTAATGGGACTTATGAAACCATAATTTCAGAGCAGTGGGAGGTATGTATATTAGCAGTCAGCCATCTGAGAAGGAACACTGGATTGGACAAAACCTAGGGTCTTGCACTGGGGTTGATTGAGGATGGAGGCCTAGCACCCTAACCACTTGAAGGACCAGTAGGAGCTCTGAAGAGGGAAGGGGCCTCTGCCTAGTTGCTGAGGCTTTTATTTTTGCCAAGGCCAGAAGACCTGTCCTGAAGGAGACTGTATGTGTGTCATGCCGGAGTACCACTGTGAAGACCCTCAGTGCAAGACCTGCAAACACTACCCCTGCCAACCAGGCCAGAAGGTGCAGCTTTATGGTATGTCCCTAGGAGACTGCTGAAGGCCACAGATGTCCCCAAGCTAACCTTTTAATCTAGAGCCAAGCTGGTATAGATGCTCAGTGAGCATGTGTAGGTATGTAAGAATGCTTGTACATGTAGGGCTCATGGGCATATCCTCTGGGTAGGCAGGGACCTGCATTCTAGATTCTAAAAGGGATAGGTGGGCTAAGTGGTCTCAGGGTACCTGAGTCATTCTTCCCATTAGCCTGGGATTCTCCACCATAATGAGGGTGCTGATGTCTTCTCAGGGCTGGATGTGAGAGGCTGTGGGGACTGGCCAGGTGTTGGTCTGCTCTCAGACTGTTACTCTGACTATGGCCAAGTCTTGTCACCAATCCTATCCATCTTCATAGGGATCAATATATCCTATCTAGTTCTAGTTCTGGAATAGACATACATAGTACTGTCTATCCAGGCCCTAGTCCTGAGGACATTAGATCTGGTGGACTGATAGATCCTAGTCTGACTCCTTCCTCTTTAACCTCAGTAGCCCCTATAGTCTGTCTGTCTATCCACAGGGAATATTAAGTTTGGCTTCGAGTGTGTTGACTGTGCCATGGGCACCTTCTCCGCAGGTCGTGAGGGCCACTGCAGACCTTGGGCCGAGTAAGTCCTGGATGAGTAGCCTAGGCCCATTCTGAGGAAGACTTTCCTGTCCCTCCCTTGTAGTAACACCTGAGGGCCCCCATTCATCTCCCAAATGGCTCAGAGGACAGCAGTCCTTCTAGAGTGGCTGCTCGGGTAACCAAGCCTGACAGTGTCTGTCTGTGTCCCAGCTGTGCCCAGTTTGGATTTCTCACCATGTTCCCTGGGAACAAGACTCACAATGCTGTGTGCATCCCGGAGCCACTGCCCACTGAGCAACATGGCCATTTGACTGTCATCTTCCTGGCCATGGCTGTGTGCATCCTCTTCCTAACTACAGCCCAGCTCTGCCTACATATATGGCAGCTGAGGAGGCAGCACATGTGTCCCCGAGGTCAGTTGTGTCCCTGGGAAGGGGAACATGTGTTTCACGCTACTTGCTGACCACATTTTTACTACAGAGACCCAGCCACACTTGGAGGTACAGCCACCAGCTGAGGATGCTTGCAGCTTCCAGTTCCCTGAGGAGGAGCGTGGGGAGCACATGGAGGAAAAGAGTCGTCTGGGAGACCGGTGGCCATGAGGGTTGTTCTTCCTCTGTACCCCAAACCAGATCCTCTAAGACTTGCCCAGACCTACCCTTGGTGAGAGCAAAGGCTCTACTGTGCATCCTTCCCTGGGCCTGGCCCTGCTCCCCTCGATGGCGGAAGTGGGTGTAAGGTGTTAATGGTGGTAAATTACACCTGGGTGTAGAAAGAGTGGTGATTACAGTGGCCCTATGGCTGCCGTCCTCTTTTGCCAGCTCTGTTGGAGTAGGGCCTTTAGGCTCTCCAAGAGCACTGAGTGTTCAGCACAAGACCTTGTATACATGGTTTTCAATAAATACTTGTCTAGTAATCTGAGTGGCTGTGTTCTGAGGACAGAGGAAAGCAAGGTTCCCAGGGCTGCATTTAAGGACACTCCTTGTCATCCTATGCCCATGGTCATTTCCAGGGTATAAAACAGAATGGACAGTCTGGTGAAATATCTTAGCAGGCAAAGGCTCTTGTCTCTAAGCCTGATGGTCTGAGTTTGGTCCCTGGGAACCACATGATAGGAGAATCTGTTAACCCTGACAGGTTGTCCTCTGACTTCCACGTCTGTGTGCATAAACACAAGCACACATGCATGTATAAATAAAATGTAATAAAAAACTTTAATAATTTTAAAGTGAGGGGGCTTCTGAGGCCTGTCCTCAGTGCTCTCTCGGTGGTGTGGTGGGAGCACAAGTCAAGGTTAATCTTGGCCACAGACCCTTAGTAGGAACCATCAGGCAAAGGAGGCTTTTGGAAAGTGCTAGTACTGAATACCTGCCTTCTTTGCTTTGTCTTCTATTTTTTTTTATTTGCATATTTATCCCTTTGTAAGTTTCTGTGCATCATGAATAACTCTCTGGAGCAGGAGTCATGCATAGTTGTGAGCCACCATGTAGGTGTTGGGAACTGAACACAGGTTCTGAGAGAGCAGCAGGTGTTAGACCAGCTCTCCAGTCCTTCTCTTGGCTTCTTGTCCAAACCACTTCACCTCACCTCTGCCTGGTCCGTATTAGGCAGCCATGTACTGAGCCTGTAGTCTTTGGGTTACTGTCCTTTGAATGCCCTTTGAGATATCTGTGGAGACTTGAGTTTTGATGGCACTTTAGGACATTTGCCTTGGCCTAACTGCTTAAAAATCAGGGTTTTGCCAGTTTCCATACTGAGCACTTTCTGGTATGAGGCAAATTCTCTGAAGTGCATAGTTTGGGCTCTGAGGTACTCCCAGCAAAGGATCTTTCCTGCCTCTTGGCAGTTGTAGGGGCTGCTCATAGAAAGATCCAATAAGAGCAGGGTGCAGTGGCACACACCTTTAATCCTGGCACTCAGGAGGCAGAGGCAGGCAGATCTTGGGAGTTTGAGGCCAGTCTGGTCTACAGAGTGACTAGGACAACCAGAGCTACATAGTGAGACCCTATATCAAAGAAAATTCAATAAGGTCATCTTGGCATGGATGTCCAGGGAGTGGTAGGCCTGAGGGAAGGAGTTGTAGCAGCACCCTTGAGGCATCTGCACATCTGAGCACTTACTCAACCCATCCTTTCCTTTAGTGCCTCCTGCCTTATCATCTCATAGCAGGTAAATGGGGATTGGAGGATGGATCTGCACCTTCTGGTGCTAACAGCTCCATCAACACACAGGCTCCTGGGAGAGACTGAAGGAGGAGATGGAAAAATTGCCATGAAAGTAGAGGACATTGGGATCAGAACACAAAGAGCTCAGGGCCATATGAAGTCCCTTGTGGATGTACCAGCACCCTCATTACCTGGAGCTGTTTCTTCTGTCTCTTACTGGGTAGGTGAGGAGTCAGGCACATGTTGCAAAGTCCAGAGTCAGCCCGGAAAGGGAGGTGGGGTCTTGGGGCATCTCCCAGCTTGCCTATCACACCATGCCCCTAGGTTCTGAGCCATAGGCAGTCCTGCCTTCCCCTGGAACTGCCACAGGTGGGGCATCCCCAAATAGTATGACGTGTGCAGATACCCACAGGCTGCATCTGCTGGAAACTCCTCTGTGGGTGACTGATGGGTGTGATAGAGATGGCAGGAGATTCTGCAGGGTGGGGTGAGGGATGCTGCAGTCTCCAATGTACCCTTGCCCTGCAGCCAGCAACACCCCCAGTTTTACTCACGTCCACCTCGGGGGCATGGGATGGGCTGTGCCAGCCTGAGAGATCTGGGGATTTCCACTGAGAACCATGAGCTGTGCAGGGTCTGTTCAGGCCCCCATGACTGCAGGCAGGTGAGTGTGAAATCCAGGGGTGCTAGAAATGTACAGAGGATCTGCTGAAAAAGACTCTGCTGCAGAGACCACTCCAGATCCTGCCTTCTGAAGCAGGGATGGTGTTTGCCACCTGGCAGCCACAACAGCTGGGTGTGTCTCTGCTTGGCCTAGACTAGTAGGAAGGAGGCTTCACTGCAATTCCCAGAAACCCCTACCCCACAGTAGCTGCCTTCCAGTTCTTCCCGGAAAACCACAGCACACACACACCCCTTTGCCTTGATTTCATAACTTTTGTTCAGTCTCAGATAAAGGCCCAGAGCCATCTCAGTTCTCAGAAATGCTTCCGGCCACAGCTGGTGGCTCCTGCTCAGCCTCCACCCTCTCACCTTGCTGAGAGAACCTACTCTTTATTCAGTGTGGGACATGCCCCAGCTTGACAGAAGGACCTGTATTATGGGAAGTGAGATGTCTCTTCCTTTTTACAACTGGACAACCCCTCCCCCAACTCCAGGCTCCAGACAGCTGTCCAGAGACCTTGAGGGGCATGTGGGTGATGACTGTCCCTAGCTGCTGAGCTGCTGAGGTATGCTCCCACTGGCCATGTAGTACCTCAACCTCTAGGTCTTCCTCTACTGGGCTGGGCTCACATCTCAGGCACTGCCCTTAGGCAGCCATTAGCCCCTATGGGAAGTAGCTGAGTCGGGAGAGAAGGTAGACACTCATCCCTTATCTACCTCATCTTCCCAAGAGGCTCCATGAATTGGGGTGCTTTTCTGAAAACCAGGCACTGACTCTCCTGGACCCTTCTTAGATGAGGAGGGAGTAGAGTGGGAAGGTATATAGGATGTCCCACTATTGTTTGGCTGAAACTAAGGTGCTCAGAAAACTCCAGACCCTGACTGAGGGGGGCTACTGTGTGTGTGTGTGTGTGTGTGTGGGTAAAGGTCTGTACTGGCTGCAGGGACAACAGGAGGTAGAGGGTGCTTAGGTCAGAGCTGTGAGCAGCTCAGTTTGCCACATCTGATGGTGAAGGAAGCTCTTGACACCCTTAACAGTAGGGCCTTAGGATTCCCTCCTAGGAGAAAAGGGAAGGAGTGATACAGAAGAGTGGGAGGACACATTCAGCTGTCGGGAACCCTGTTCCTGGGTGACCAACCCCAGTGGTAATCAGTTGCTCTGTGGGGCCAGCCCAGTCTTGATGCTGTCATTCAGCTCCTTAAGCTCTGGTCCTGCCATATTATTTGAATATTAGAGAATACCTAGAATCTGCCAGGTGGCCAGATGCTCAGATGCCCCACAGCCCCTCTCTCCCCTGAGCTTTATGAGGTCCCAAACTCAGGGGTCTGGAGAACTTACATGTGGGCTGTTAAGAGTTGAGGAGGACCTGGAGGGGGGTTGATGGGGTCATCACTCATCATTCCTGTGGGATGAGTGAGCAGCAGGAGGTCTCTGAAACCTTTATTCATTGACATGATGCTCTGCAGCTGCCAGGAATGAAGGGTAGCAGAGAGCTCAAGCCCTTGGGGAATCTGTGGTTGGCAGGGCAGGACAGGCTACTGCCAACAAGTATTTGTTACATCGTGGTCTCAGTAGAGGCTCCATGTCCCCACAACAGCAGCAGAAGCATCTCCTTCCTGAGAACTTTGTTACCTCCTCTACTGACATGAGACATCCCCCGGGGAGCAGAGCTGCAGCTCCATGTGGCAGCTGAGAGCAGAAATATTTATGACACTGGTGATGCCATCAAGGGACACATCAAGGGAACTGTGAGAAGTAGTGGAGGCTATGGGAAACACAGGATTTGGAGGTAGCATAAGTTGAGAATGTAGTGACAGTGGCCCCAAGGGACATGGCTATGTAGCACCATAAATGCCAGCAAAAATGTGACCCTGACCCCAGTAACAGGTGTGGATTCACCAAGATCTAGGCGCTTAGGCTCTGGGAGGCTAGCTTTAGTGGGCTTCAGAGCATATAGACCAGAGACCCTCTGACCATGGACAGGCTCTTCCCTAGACTGTTACAGGAGAGACTGGGCTCGATCACATAAGGATAAGATTGTGCTTATACTGTACCTTGTACCTTATGCTCTAGGCCACAGCAGGAAGACTGAACTTGGAAGAAAGTAGGCTAGAACATTTGGGGTGGAGCAGGCAGTCTGAATGGAGAAGGGTTATGGGGGGTGTGGAGAGATGTGGGATGCTCACGAGCTAAAGTAGGGTCTCCATGATCATTTCCTCTGGGACCTGAGGGCCTCACTTTACCTCTCTGAGCCTCAGTTCTATTGTTAAGGGTTCCTGGAACAGAACCTCCCTGTATGCTGGCTGGCTAGAGCAGCAAGCAGTTGACAGAGCCCTCTACTGGTGGACAGGCCATTGCATCCTAAGAATCCTAAGTGCCACAGTTTAGACAACTGTGCAAGGAAGATTTCCTTACCTCCTGAGGGATTTTGCTCCAATAAAGAACAAGGACTAGTCTGGCACTTCTCTCACATGTGATGAAGCTAGGCCTGATATTTGGGACCAATTACAGGTCAGAAGGGAGGGCAAGGAAGAGGAATCTGCCACACTGGATATGCAAGAGAGTATTCAAGCTGAGCAGGGCCTTCTGGAAGTTGGTGGAAGGCGCCTTTGGAGTTTTGTAGGGGTGGGGTAACTTAAGCAGACAGGGGTTGACTGGAGGAACTTACAGGCAGGGTCCTGGCCACTTTGGTATAAGATTTGAGGTGGTCAGAGTCCTCTTTTCAAAACCCCATGCTAACTAGGAGCATCAATATTAGTGGGTGGGGGTGGGGAGGATGCAACAATCACCAATGCCAGCTTAGTGTCATCCTTCCTGGGAACTGCCCTGTCTTGGCCAACTCCTCTGTGCCTCTCATCCCAGACAAACTCCAGGGTCTTTGTAGGGAAGTAGGGGCTGTATGCTGTAGACAGTGCTCCACATAGTGTCTGAAAGGCCAGAAGAAAGATGGTGGGCAGTTTGAGGATGAACCCCAGCACTGCACCAGAATAGTAATGGGGTAGGTAGGGTGGTGCTTCCAGAGTTCCATGGTCATCCAAGACCTTTCCTGGGGACTCCACGGAACCCTGGGTGGGTCCCAATGCCAGGCTGCAGAGGTCATGAAGGCCATGGAGTTCCCAGGAGAATCCTACAGGATGAGTAAGTAGGGACCCAGGATTTGGTGGGCTGCCCCACAGAAGGAAAAACAGGTCAGTGGAGTTTTTCCCTTCCGGAAGGATGCACTCCCATTCTGCATGCAGCTCCCTCTCCTTCCTTAAGGACAACCTGAGGAACAAAGAGAGGAGGGGGACAGAAGGGCTTGGGGCGCCTAAGTGGGACTGGCTTCTGGAGGCCGCGTTTGTCACAAAGTAGCTTTTATAGGTCCCGGAGAGGGCACGGCCGTGAGCAGGGGGTCTGGATGCTTGTGGCGGCTAGGAGCCCCGGTGGCTAGCGCTCCTCTGTTCCTCCTCGCGCTCTTCTTCGGGTGGCCCCAGGGAGGGCTCGCCAACCGCGTCCCTGCTGCCTTCTGGGGACCCAGAACAGAGAGAGGGCTCAGACTCAGCTCCGGATCCTCCGCTGGAGTCAGGCAGCTGCGATTTGCGGAAGGCGCATATGGGAGCGTCCCTGGAAGGCACGGGCTTGCGTGCACCAGGCCGGTCTGCAGCGGCACGTACTGAGGACAGCACAGAGGATGCGACCTCACAGGTAGGCCGGGGAGGCGGCGGCGGAGGCAGGCGGGCAAGGGGGCGCGAGCCCCCCAAGCGCGGCCACAGGTCCGTGGTCTCGCCGTTGTAAAGGAGCACAAAGCGACGCTGTGACAGCAGGGGCAGCATCTTCTGACTATGCAAGCTCTTTTGGCAGGTCTCAAGAGCTAGATCTGTGGGGAGGCAGGGTAGCGACAAGGTGAATGATGAGAGGGATGTTTGGAGGGCAACCTCTCCAGCATGTCTGGAAACAAGGGAAGAAAGGGGTCCGTGAGGGACTGGACGTAGGTGGGTCAGGTGACAGACAAGTTGGAGCAGAGAGAGGGTTTGGCTGCCATGCAGATTATGGGGAGTTGGAAAACCAGACTTGTGGAGTCTGAACTTGGAGGCAAGTAGGATGGGGGTACCCAGAACTAGACAAAGATGTATACAGGAATGTTGTGACATGAGGCTACCCAGAGCTCACCCAAGGTCTCCATAACCACTCCAGGGATCACCTCCTTCAGGACTTCACAGTTGGTATGTAGGGCAGGGTTGGAGTTCATCTCCAGCAGCCACACCTGTGGCAGACAGTGGTCAGCATCTCTATCCACCTACAGCCAGTTGGCCAGTAAGAAGCTGGGACTTTGGTCCCTATCCAGCTATGTGATTCTGGGCAGATTGTATCTTCCCATGGCTTTGGTCCCCGTGTTTGCTCAAGGAATTAAGGCTGCTGCTCAGTTCCAGTAGGAGATGAGCTTTATGAACACATCTGACCTTAGGGATGAGTCCACCTATTGGGCCTACTTATGTGGTCAATGTACAGATGGGCCCTACCTCCTTGTACCAGCCTACCAGACCTCATCTTCCCAAGACAGCACCTTGAAGTTCTCATCAATCAGGAAATCACAGCCAATGAGATCAAAGTAACCCAGCTTGCACTCCAGCTTGGACTTGACAGCCAGGAAGCAGTGGGCCATGATCTGCTGCATCCGCTTCTGTGGGTGAAGCAGGGAAGGATCCTGGCTGTCGCCTGCTGGCCCAGATGACGTCTCCTAGGTCTGAACAATCAGTCACACCTCTCATCTGCACTCTCACCCTCACCTGCATAGCTGTAACTGCCCACACTTTCACATGCTCAGAGTTACAGGCTCACAGTCAGAAACTCATTCAACAAAATCATGGGGCTTCTACTGTGAGGCAGGTACTAGGAGATACAAAATTAAAGAAAATTAGAACTCACAGCAGAGAGACAGACAACTAGAACATATAAAATCCTGGTAGAATAGAGAACATTGTAGCACTTCAAGTTGCCCTAGTTAGTTTCACTCTATGTTTTTCAGCTCAGTGAAAAACTTTGAAAAATATATGTCTTGGAAATAGCAGAACTTGTCTAATTTACAAATAATTCCATCTATTAGTTTTCCTAGGTTTGAAGGTTTGTTGGAAGACCCCTTTAGAAAACACCAAAGGAGAGTTGAGAGATGATGTCTCACCAGAGAATATTAATGAAGAGATACAAATTATAGAGGCCCTTAAGATGGTCAGTGGGTAAAGGTGCCTAATGCTAAGCTTGATAACCTGAGTTTGATCTCTGGGACCCACATAGTGGAAGGAGAAAAAACTCCCATATGTTGACCTCTGACCTCTACAAATGTGTCATGCGATGTGTACTCCCTAATACATTTTTAAAATGTAATTAAGATTTTAGCTGGGCGATGGTGGCACATGCCTTTAATCCCAGCACTCGGGAGGCAGGGGCAGGTGGACCTCTATGAGTTTGAGGCAACCTGGTCTACAGAGTGAGTTCCAGGACAGCCAAGGCTACACAGAGAAACTCTGTCTAGGAAAACAAAACACACAGAGTGAGAGAGAGAGAGAGAGAGAGAGAGAGAGAAAGTATAAAAGGGAATGGACTAGAATTTCTGGAGTAGAAAAATACAGTGACTACAATTCTTTTAAAAAATACTAAGAAAGAAAAAGAACAGATCTTCGCGTTTAAGAGATGGCTCAGTGGTTAAGAGCGCTTGCTTTGCTCTTCCAGAGGACCTGGGTTCAGTTCCCAGCACCTACATGACAGCATACAGCCATCTGTAACTCCAGTTCTGCCATTCTCATCTGGCCTTTGCCACACCAGGCATGCACTCGGTATACAGACATACATGCAGACAAAACACCCATACACATTATATATATTTTGAGACAGGGTTTCTCTGTGTAACAGCTCTGGATGTCCTAGAACTCTTTTTTGTAATCCAGACTGACCTCAAACTCATGGAGATCTGCTTGCCTCTGTCTCCTGAGAGCCAAGAGTAAAGGCATGTGCCACCACCACCACTGGGCCAATATATATATTTTGTCATAGAACTGGGTATGGTGGCGCACGTTTGTAGTCCCAGACTGAGCAAACTAAAGCAGGAGGATCACATGATTCTTTGCCATCCTTTGCTTCCCTAATCAGTGGAAGGGTTCAGAAATTGAAGTAATTTGAAAGCAGATCAATTGAAATTATCTACTCTGAAGAAAATAAAAAGTAATGAAAAAATAAAGCTTCAGAAGCTTGGGGATGGGAACTAATTCAGCAGATATATGTACTGAGAATCCCAGAAAGAAAGAAAGGGACAAGGTATTGTAAGAAATGATGGAAAGGTTCCTAAGTTTGATGTAAAACATTAACCTCTAAATTTAAATCATGCAATGAAGCCCAAGCAGGATAAATTAATAGATTTATCATACGCAGACTTTTAAAAGATAGAGAGGGCTTAGGAGACAGCCCAGTGAGCAAAGCATGTGCTAACAAGCGTGAGGATCTGAGTTCAGTCCCCAGAACCATGTAAGTTGGTGTGATGGTTCTTTATTTGCAATTTTTGTGCTGGGAAGGCAGAGACAAACAGATCCCCGAAGTTTGCTGGCCTAGCCTAATCAGTGAACTTTAAGCCAATGAAGATATGACTCTGTCTTTAAAAAGTGAGGATGACAGACACCTGAGTAACAACATCTGAAGTTGACCTCTGGCCTCCATAATTGCACATATATACTCATACACATGAACACATACACAAACACACATGTACATACAAAATCATAAAAAAAGACAGAGAATGTTGAAATTAGTAAGAGAAGCAATTTATCACATAAAAGGGATACTCAATAAGATTAATAGTCAATTTCCTCAGAAATCATGAGGCCTGAAGGCAAAGGAATGACATATTCCAAATACTGAAAGAAAAAAACTGCCAACCAAGAATTCTATCTCCAGAGGCAAAAAAAAAAAAAAAGCTTAGTTGGCAAAGTACCATCTATACAAGCACAGACTGAGTTCAGTACCATAAAACCCATATAAATAGTTAAGCATGGCAATTGCATGCCTATAACCCTAGTCTTTGGTGGTGATGCAGACAGATCTCTGAAGCTCATGGTCTAGCCATTTTAGCCTAATTATGAATTTCAGGTTTAGTAAGAGATCCTTTCTCAAAAAATAAAGGTGGAGAGTGATTGAGGAAGGACATAAGACATCTACCATAGGCCTCCACATGCATGTGCTACATGTACAGACATCAACACACACACACACACACACACACACACACACACACACACACACACACACACGTGAAAAGAATTTCTCTATTCAACAAAATCATACTTCAAGAATTACACTTCAAGAATGGAGAAATAATAATAAACTGAAGAAATGGCTCAGCTGTTAAGAGCACTTGCTGTTCTTGCAAAAGACCCCAGTTAGGTTTCCATTGTCTACATCTGGCAGTTCACAATCTCTTCTAACTCCAGTTCCAAGGGATCCAAAACCTCCTTCTGGCCTCTGTGAGCACCAGGCACATACATGGTACCCAAACATACATGTAGGCACTCGAACACATAAAAAATTAAAATACTTTTTAAAATGGAGAAATTAAGACATTCCCACATAAGGCCAGTGGTGTGGTGTCACATGTCTTTAATCCCAGCACTCAAGAGGCAGAGGCAGGCAGATCTCTGTGAGTTTGGGGCCAGCTTGGTCTACATGGTGTGACCCAGTCTCAAAAAAAAAAAAAAAAAAAAAAAGACATTTTCACACAAGGAAAAACAGAGCATGTATATATTGGGATAAAAAGTTTTCATTCATTAGTTTTTGTGTGTGTGTAGTAGGTTGGAACCCAAAGCTCTTGTGCATGCTAGGCAAATGTTCTACCACTGAGCATAACCTTAGCCCTCAACATTTTGTTTTGTTTGAGTCAGGATCTCATATAGACCAGGCTATCTTTGAATTCTTTGTGTAGCTGAATATGATGTTGAGTTCCTGATACTCCTGACTCTATCTCCCAAATGATAGGATTACAGGTATTGCACTACCCCACCTGGCTCCTGGCTCTTTCTTTCTCTCCCTTCCTTTCCTTCTTCCCTTCCCTTTTCCCTTCCCTTCCCCTTCCCCCTTCCATCCCTTTTCCCTTCCCTTTCCCTTTCACCTTCCATCCTCTCCCTTCCCCTCCCCTTCCTTCCCTCCCCTCTCCTTTCCTCCCCTCCCCTTCCTTCCCTTTCCCTCCCTTCCCTTTCCTTCCTTCCTTCTTCTCTTCCTCCTCCTTCTCTCTCCTCTCTTCTTCCCCTGCCCCCCAGTAGACTTCACCATGTAACTTTTATTGGTCTGAAACTATATAGACAAGACTGGCTTTGAACTCAGAGATGTTTGCCGCTGCCTCCCACACATTGGGATTAAAGGTGAACACCACCATGCCCAGCATAGTAAAATGAATTTAAGGAAACTGTAAATATATGTACACCAAACACATTATATAACCAAGGAGAACTGGAAAAATTCCTAGGAAAAACTAACTAAATAGAACAATCTAAAACCAAACAAGAATAGAAAATCTTAATAGACATCAACCAAATGAGACTGAGGGGTGGTAGTAAGGCAGTGTTAACGACACACCTTCCCACAAAGGGAAGTCCAGGCTGCTTCACAGGATGTATCAATGTTTTGTTTTTGTTTTTCTCATTGGAGAAATAATAAATACATGAGAGAATTACTTCCAAAGAGTAAAGATTTTTGCTTCATAGTTTTCAGAGGTTTCCATCTACAGTTTCTCAAATTTGAGCAGGGCAGACTGTCACAGGAGTGAGATAATGTGGCAGAGCCTGCTCATCTCATGTATCAATTTGATCATAGACTTCAAGTCTCTAAAACTATGAATCAGAATAAAATATCAAGACATTTTCTATAGTAAAAGGAGGATGATACATTTTCATATCAAAATCAGATAAAAATACTAAAGAAAAGCTATAGGTCAGCATTACTTATGAGCACAGACACAAAAATACTTAATATAATAAAATCAAACTGAGAAGCATATTTGAATTATTATATACTTCTACCACCTAGGATGTATTCTGGAAATTTAAGAGTAGTGAAAGTTAATCGATGCAATACACATAAATGAAATGAAGGAAAAATAACTCATGCTCATCTTTTTTTTTTTTTTTTTTTTTTTTTTGGTTTTTCAAGACAGGGTTTCTCTGTGTAGCTTTGCGCCTTTCCTGGAACTCACTTGGTAGCCCAGGCTGGCCTCGAACTCAGAGAGATCCGCCTGGCTCTGCCTCCCGAGTGCTAGGATTAAAGGCGTGCGCCACCACCGCCCGGCTCTCATCTTAATCAGTATAGGAACAGCATTTTACATTACTCAGCATCCTACCCTTAAAAAATAGTAAACTAGGGAGAGAAGGGAATTTGTAAGCCTTTCCCCCATATTGGAAGAAATACAAGGATGTCTACTTTTGCCTCTTTAACATGATATTGAAAATTACACCTGGAACAATTAGGCTTGGCTTCGGTACAACTATACATGCTTCAATAACTGATGAAAAGTCATGTGCCTAGCCCAACCCATGGGCAATATGTACACAGATTCCTGACTCAAAGCCAGACTGACCGTGAAGGTGGTGAAGACCCAATCTCTGGGGAGGCCCTTGGTCTTCCTAAACTTGTCATTGATGTATCGGTTGAGGTGCTCCATGCTCCACACAGTGCTCTCTTTCAGCAGCATATACAGGGGACTCTTCTTCTGCATGAACTACAGCAAAAGCAGAGCCTAGAGGTCACTCTCTGAAGGGACCACTCTATGAAGGCTTTACCCCAACCTTCAGACCTTCACAGAAGCTCCATTCCTATCTCCCATGAGAACTCCCTATGAGATCCTCATGCATACACCTTTATGCCTTGAAACTTCCCAGTCAGCAAATCCCCACAGACCCTAAACAAGGAATCTCTCATTCCAGATTCTCCCATTAGGCCTTTGGTCAGCACACCAATGGCAGCTGATCCAAGGATTCAGGCTCTAAGGTACTTATATAGGACACCTGAGTCTCTGTTGGGGTGAAAGGTAGACAAAGGCTGCTAGGCCACTTTGAAGCCTGGGCAGGCAGTCTATAACTAGACTCTTCTTCTGCATTCTTAAGCAATGAAGTCATTTCTCTGAGCTCATCCACACCTATAGGAAAAGGGCTTCTCCTATAAGGGGTTCTTACCTGATTGGTCAAGTGACCACTGAGGTCACTGGAATGAGGGTCATACAGGCTGAGGGTGAGGCGGGCATAGCCATGGCCAAAAAAGACCATGTAGGGCATGGCACAGGCAATGAGCAGGTAGGAGCGCACATCAAACTTCTTCCCATCTAGCAGCAGCGGGTTCTGGACATATCTAGGGGATACCATAAGGGGCACCAGGAGTTGAGTTGCTTGGCCAGTAGCCTAGGTCTGTCATCCCCATAAGGACCATTTCCTCATTGCCTCCCACCTGTCCCAGGCATGACCACTAACTGAACACTGTCTATGGTCAGAGGACATTTCTGAGTCTGAACTGGTCAGAGGAATTTGGAAGAGGATCTCACAACCAAATCTCTATGTGTCTGGCCATCTTAAAGTGCAGCTCTTACTTTACTAGGCAGTTTATGGGAGCAGATTGGGCCCCTGTGGCAGGGAGGGCTGTCGGAGGAAGAAGGGTGACAATAGACCATGAACAGTGAATGGCTTTGGAAGGGAGAGGACATTCCACATAGGACACTTCAGATCTTCAAGACTTAAGATAGGAAGAGCATGTTTGGGAGGGCCCTATGGAAGGGCCCTATGGAAGGGGAAGGGGGCAGCAAATAGCAGCTGTGGCCAGAGAAAGGGTAAATATTGGCAGAGGGTAAGGCACTACTGGGACCTTTCTAAGGGTGAGCTGAGTTTTCCCTCCTAGTCCTCTGTGAAATTGAGGATCTGGACCCCACTGTAGGCAGATGGGCCATTGGTCAGCTTTGTGTTGCAGATAGGCTGTAGCTGGCTGGCTGGAGAGTAGGGAAGGACAGCTGCAGGACAGAGGACACAGGTATCAAGCCCTCCTTGACGAGCCCCCCTCCTCCAGAGCCTGTGTTTAAGGGCAGTCTTGTCTGCCACTCCAGCTAAATGTGACACCTCCCCTGCACAGGCTGTAGGGCTAGATGTGGGCTGCTTGAGGCAGGTTGATTGGGTGCTGCAGCCTGCTATGGCCAAGGGCTTCTCTGCAGCACTGCTGACTATCACCAGGATTCACGGGCACCAGCTGGTCTGGATTATCCCTGCTGAGACCCAGGCCCTTCCTGGCATCCATGCCCACACCTCTGCACCACCCGCGCCTGAGGTGCACGGAAGGGCATCTTGCGGTAGATGGGGTCGTCCTCAATGCTCTGGGTCTTGGCCTGCAGGGCAGCAACCTCCTCCTGGCTCCTGATCAGAAAGATGCCCTTTCCCTGGTTGGAGGCCGTGGGCTTGCAGATCCATATCTGGGTTTCTGCAGGGAGTAACCCCTGAGCCTCTGGCCCTGAGTACTCCTTGCCCCTCCCACCCCTCACCCTTCCCTGGCCCTGACCATACCCCAGCCTTGACCTTCCCTTTCATTATCTCTTCCTCTCAGCCCTGACCACTCCAACCAGCTCCAGCTGGCTTCAACCCTTGTCCTACCCCGATTTCACTACCTCGCCCCAGTTTAGAGGGCTGTTCCTTTGTCTCACCTTGACAATACCCATAATCTGGTTATGGCCCTGCCACACCCCTACCTCTGACTAAGGCCACAACCCTCTTTCTCCAACCCCTTAACACCAGAAACCACCAACTCCCTGGCCCTGGCTTCACTTTTCCTCTCAAGAACTATCCCACCTTTTCCAGGTCTGGACTCGCCCAACCTTCCTCCCACCCTGCTGGGGTCTGAACCTGATCTTATCTACCCTTTTAGTGTTCCTAGCCCTACCCAGGGGCCTCTCACCATCAAATAGAGTGAAGAAAGCCTGTCTCTCATCCCTGATGTCCAGCCGATAGGTCTCTGGAAAAAACTCTTCCATTTTCAGGACCCTTGGGAGAGCAGGGAGGTGAAGACATAGGAGGACTGTCCTCTGCCTCAGACTTCGCCAGTGATCTGGTAGTTTGACCTGTAGGCTAGCTGGAAGGGGCATTCACCGTTGTGTCCTCCAGCCTTCTTAGCTATTTCCTTTGCAAGGCCTTTGTTCACACTGTGCCCTTGCAGAACATTCTTTCATGTGTCTCATATCTTAGCTTCTCTGCAGCAGTCGGCCTTTGGCTACCAGACCCACTGTGGCCCCTCTGTCCCACCTTGCTGCTTTCTCCCTCCCAATTGCTCTCTTCTTTGTGGGTTGGTTTCCAATGCCAAGACTGTGTCTGACATAGAACCATAGTCAGTATGTATCTGAGCTCCCAAACTGCCTTTCACCTAACAATATGTCATACCCAGTTATGGTCTCTTCCAGCTATCTACCTCTGTGGCCCAAGGCATCCTGGGCTGGTCCATGTAAGCTCCTCAAGGGCTGATACATCCCTTTCAAATCTGCATCCCAAAGGGACATAAGTCCTGGTCTGAGTAGTTACCTCCAGCATGTATGGAGATGTGGGTGGGGTATGCAGAGTAGGAGTGTAGATGGATATGGAGGTAGGTGGGCAGATGAGTTGCTGGTCAAAGTTAGTAGGAAGTGGACAGCTGGATACACAGATGTCAAGATGGTGTTATGAATGGCTATGTTCTAAATGCTACCTTGAGGGGCAGATGGTGAACAGTTGGTTGGATGAGTAGATAGATCCCTAAATAAATGTTTGGGTGAGTAATGGCTGGGCAAGTAATCAGTGAACCATGCTGGTTGAGTGCTTCAGCTTGGCTGAGTGGTAGGGTTAGAGGAAACTGGATGGATATGACTGGATAGATAAGGAGTAGCAGCAAAATGATGGCCAAGTGGGTGGGAGCAATGGATGAGTAGTGAGGGACATCGTGGGTGGCATAGAGTAAAGATATCAGAGTAGAGGATGGTAGGCATGCGCTGGAGTAGAGGCAGATTGGTAGACCAGTGGGGAGAGGGGTGGAACATGTGAAGGAGAGTGGTTGCTGAGGAGCTGCAGAGTGAGTGGTGAGCTTATGGAATGGGGAAAATGGTCCTAAAGAGACAGATGGAGGTAGAAATGGGTGTGCCTCTGGGGCTGGGCAGAGTGGGCTCACTTGGCTTGGGTACTGGGCAGCAGCCTGGCTTTACTCAAAGTTCGTGCATGCTCCCGCAGGGCACTGAGCAACCCGATCTTGGTAGTGAGCAGCTTATTGTTGGGGAGCTGGAACAGCAACTGCTGGCCTGGCAGGACAAAGAGGGGTATATGGGTGATGCCTTGAAGCTGTGCCACATCCCCTCCCCTCAGGGATGTCCCTACCTTCCCGGAAGCTGCAGTAGTTGTCCCTGCACTTGATCTCACACCACTTTAGCTTGTAGTCCTCACAGCGACTGTCCTGAGTGCGTTGCCAGCCCTTGCTCTCACAGTAGTTGCTGATTCTGTGGGGTAGAAGGCAGTAGTAACTGGGGGCCTTGGGGTTCTCTGAGGAAGACAGGGCAGGAGTGACTGCCTATAACAGCATCTTGGACTAGGTCCAGGCCAGGGGTGGGAAGGCAGACCAGGGCTGCCCAAACCCCACTCACATCGATGCTCCGTTGGTGCCTCCGATGTAAAAGAAAGGGCCCTGACCAGAATTGGGCTGCTTGTCCCCTTCCAGAAAGAGCCCCTCCAGGGAGGTCACAGGTAGTCTGGCAGCTTCTTCTTCCTCTAGGAGGTCTGTGGGCAGGTAGTTGGTCAGAGGCCTCAGGTTTCTGGCTCAGTAGGGTTTTTCCTGCCCCTCCCAGCTGCCAGAAGCCCCACCTGCATCTTGGTCCAGCCGACTTAGCTCAGGCCGGAGCCGCTCCTCGACACTGCTCCCCATCCGTTTCTCATGGGTCCAGCCTGGAGACCAGTGGTGTCAGGTGGAGGAATGGGGAGGTACCCACTCTATCTGCCTGAGCCCAGCCAATGCCAGAAGCTACTGGAAACTAATGCAGCCCCTCTGGACCTCTCTTCAGCCCAACAAAGACCTGACCAGGGGGTCTGAGAGTCATTACACCCAAGAAAGGAGGCAGTTTCCACAAGCCTTAAATCAGGCAGAGTCCAGGTAGTGTAGAGACGACAGTGGGGTGAAGTGGGTAGCCCCACCTCCACCCTCCTTACCAGCAGAGTAGGCTCCATGCAGGGAGTGGGCTGGAGTATGAGGCAAGAGCCCTTACAGACACGATATGGGGATGTCTCCAAAGGGCAGGGGTCACAATGTCTATGATGACATCATGGGTGACCCAAGGGTCTATGGTCAACCAGGAGAGATGGGAGGCTACACTAAGTGGAGTTGGGGTAGGGAGTGCCCACTGTGATGGCATGAACCGGTAGAGCCTGCAGATTCTTGAGCATAGTGTCCCACGTATGTGGGCCCCTGCTAGCTTCTCTTGGAGCCTGTCTGGCTGTCTGGCTGGGTATGGCCTAGTGTGAGCATAGTCCCCTCCCTATCAGATGCTGTCCCTGGAGGCCCTGACTTGAGGGTATGTGGAACCAGTTCCAGGGTCACTCTGTATTCACCTGGCACCCGAGGGTGGCATCGACGGATCCTGGATCGTTTGGGTCTCTTGGAGCTGACATGGGTCCGAGGGGGCTGACCCCGGCAGTGGATGAATCTAGTACGGCTGCGTGTTGCAGGCATGAGGGCACCAGAGCGAGGAACCCTTGAGGAAGATGTCCCTACACCCCTTCGGGGTCTTCTAGCAGCCTGAGATCTCAGCCCTCGGATGGGGCAGACAGCTGGTCCCACCCTGCCTGGGGAAGGATGCCTCCCCATGTCCTGGGTTGTGGCTTCAGCTTGTGGCTCACTTCCATCTCTGTGATGGCCATGAGGTCTTCCGGCCTGTGGGTGCAAGGCCATCTTTGCAGCCCGTCTCTGCCGGGTGAGTTTTCTTCGGCCAAGACCGTCACGGCCTCGATGAGTGTGGCCTCTGTGTCTGCTGCAAAGAGGGTGTCCATCAGTCTTGCTGTTGGTAGGATGCCCTTCTGCAGGCTTGAAGGGCAAAAAGGCTCCTAGCCCTCAACAAAAGTCCTACCAGTTTATGGCTCCCTAGGTGCTAAGTCCTGGTCCTGCTAATACAACCTGTCTATAGCCATCGTCACTCTTCTTCCCCCAGCACTCCTGCCCTGGATGCTGCCATTTTTCTCTACTTGTTATCTTTAGAATATTTTAGGACATTTAAAATCTATTTCTAGATGAATCTTTGTGCCTTGCATTAAGGAAATAAACTCAGTTTGTTGGACAGGAGTGAGTGAGGAGATAGCACATAGAGCCTTGTGTGTGGGAGGGGAAAGACAGGCTGATGCCCTTGGATAGGAGCAGGTCAGCTCTAAAGTGGAAAACAGGTCTGTGGATAGACTAACAGCAAAGAAAGGCCAAGGACAGCAACTACACGAAAGTCAAGCCATTCAGGCATTATGTATGTCTACCAATTCCACCCTCACTGAATTGACAAGAAAAAAAAATCCAAAAAGTTCTGTAGGATGGAGAGAAAGCCTGGAATGAGAACCTCTTACCTCTGTAGAAGGTAAGCTGCAAATATAGAAGAATCCAGGAGTGCCTGGAGACCCCTTCCCACTGAGAAAAGAAAGGCTCTCAGGAAGAGGCTGAGGTAGGAGCTTTAAAATTGGGCAGGATTATAGGTGTGGGTATGTGATTCTGCAATCACTGGGAGGGCCTAGTGCATTCTACTGGGTTTCCAGAACCCAGAAGCAGGCCTAAGGGGGCCTGCTATGGAAATGGGACCTTAAGACACACACTGGTATTCAGTATTGTCCACAGCCTAAGAGGCTGCCTGGCCCCAGGGAGATCTGAGGAGGCCTCCTAGGTATGAACAAGAGGAACATATGGACACATACAGAGGAAGAAGAAAATGGAATAGAAAAGATGTGGAAACTGAAGGAACCTAGCTCACTTTCAGAATGTGTTTGGGAGTGGGAGAGATGTTGTATCCTAAAAAGGTGCTGGATTCTATCAGATCAGGAAGGAGCCTGTGGGTACTAAACATGAGATACTAAGGTCAGAATTAAGTTCAGGAAATTGTTCAGGAAGAACTGAGGACAGGCTAAGAAGATCAAACCGAATATAAACCCACAGAGACTCATTATAGCTTGTTCAGAGACGAGGAAAGAAAGGAAGTTGGACATACTATTTGGAGTTGGGGAGGTACCCTGTAGCCAACCAGAGTCCTCTAGCCTTTGAGGAGGGCACACACTGGAGTACCAACTCCAGGAACCTGGGGAAGTTGGAAACCAGTCTGAGCTACATGAAACTCTCTCTCAAAAATTAACAAAAACAAAACAAAAAAAAAAACCACAAAATGACAAAAACTTTATAAAAATCCTAGTGGGTAAGTAGGAATATGTCTACCCAAGAGAGGAAGGACTGGGATGCAGCATCTAAACTGAGAAGGGGCCAGCTGCTACCCTTGTCTAGTGAACGTGTTCTAGGGTGTCTCTGAGAATGAGACCCAGAATCCAGAAAGTAAGTTTCACAGTAAAAGTTTCAGTTACTATTTCAGAAAGCAAACTGTCCAATAACGGAGCAAATTATGTGGTCATGAGTCTTAGGGGTATTACATAAAAGTTAAGGGAAAGCTCCAGGTGAGGAGCTAGACAGAAGCCTCAAGTCTTTATAATAAATTTAAAATAAACTTTTTACCTGGTCAGATAAAAAGACCGGCAGGAAATCACACCCCGGTACAATGGGCAGGAGATGCGTTTAAACCTGAAGAAGATGGCCAAGAAAATGACCACATCAGTGTTCTGCTGAAGTTTTCCCCAGACACAACATTTGGCAACACAGGGCTCTGAGTAGGTGCTGACATTTTTTGAAGGGCTGGTGCCTCCCAAGCAGCGCTCACTGTCTGGGGATGCGTTCTCTGTGGATCTCAGGAGGTGGCCCTTCTGAGGGGTCAGTTCTGGGGAGACAGACATGGCTCTAGGCAAAGAGCTCGTCCTGAGGGATCCCAGCCCTCCCCAGAACTTGAGTTGCCCACATGGGCCAGCCCCACCCCACAAGACATTCCTCTCTTGTCTAAAACGCTGGGGTTTGGAGAAAGAGTGGCCTCAGCAGAGGGCTGAGCTCAGCCAAGCTGCACAGTCTCTCCGCAGTCCTCTCTCCTGTTTGTCTACTTCTGGAAAGGCCAAAAATGGGGTACAGGAGGGCAAGCACTCAGCTTCAGCCCTAGTCAGGACCCTCAGCTGGTGACCAGCCAGCCTCTCTTACCTGCTCTGCAAGGTCTTAGGAACCCTCTGCTGGGATACAACAGTGGTGACCTGGCAACTGTCTCCAGGCAACTATTGCCAGGGAACATGATTCAGTGGCTGCCCAAAGGTAAACAAGAGTTTTAGGTGTATGGTGAAATGGGTCTTGTATGAGCTGAGGGGCAGCCTCACAGAAGTTGGGCAAAGCAAGAGATGGAGAATGGGGGTCAAATTGGTCTGAGGAGATGCTGAGGATAAGTAGGAGTTTTGTATTGACAACCCCTATGTCTGAACCATCATTTTCCATCCTGTTATGAATTCTTCCAGGATCATCCTGAGCATTCACAGGGATTCCTTAATCCAGACCTAGTAATTTAGGATCTGACACCAAGCATGGCTCAAAGTGGCTCTTGGTGCCAATTTGTAGTTTCCTACTGAGGTCCTTGGGACTCGGTGTGATTCCTGCTTTTGACCCCAAGTTTCCAGCCATATGAACCTCACATGTCATCTTTCAGAGCCTTATAAGGGTCACAAGACTTGACAGGAGCTATATGGTGCTTCAAAAAAACAGGACCATATCTTGAGTTCTGAAGCCCATGGACATGACTATTTTTTAAAGAAAGGTCTGTACAGATGTGATTGAGTCAGACTCTTGGGTGAATCATCTTTCATCAACCAGGTGGGCTCTAAACCCAATGACTGATGACTTCTTCAGATGGAAGCAGAGACAAGGGTATGCGTCCATCAGCCACAGGGCCTATGAACTAAGAGGTGGGAGTAAGAGGGCTTCCCTAAGGGCCTCGTTGAAACATTGGGTGTATTTTGGAAACTCTGAAAAACAACTTCTGTTGTTTTAGGTTGCCCTCCAGCCCTCTTCACCTTCAGGTTCCTTTGTGGTTCTGCCCATGCTAAGGGGCTCCATCATCCCCTTAGAGGCTGCACACTCCTAGGCTCTACTAATGTGACTCCTCCCTTGAGGTCTTTTCCCTAACCTAAGCTGCTGGAGTGGGAGGTTGTGCTAGATGTGGCTGGCGAGGACATCATCTCTCAGCTGTGCCTGGAGTCCTGTGGGAATAGGAGTGCCCCCCTGGGCTGTCATTTTCTGTTTGTGGAACTGCTTACTGTCACCGACCCTGCCCTTCCTATGTTGTGTTGGGGGCAGGGGTCTTTGTGGTCAGTCCAGTGCTGGCTCAAGAAACCTCTCTGCCCCAAATTAGTAGGGTGGGACTGCAGGTGCACCGGGGCAGATAGCACTCCTCCTAAGCCCTGGACTGAGTTATGGGGCTTACAGCCACCAGCCTGGGCATAACATAAGCTAACAGCCTGGCCAGGTAGCACACCCAATCCTGGAGAGGCTCTGGACTATTAGCCAGCAGTCACTGACCCTGGAGGATGAAGAACATTTCCAATTCTCACTCCAGGGGCTAGGGATGTAGCTCAGTGGTAGAATGATTGCTTTACATTCATGAGACCCTGGGCTTGGTTCCTGCACAAAACAACAAACTCCCAATTCTCACTCCAGTGCTGACTCTTGGCTGGGATGAAAACCCCATTTTCATGGGTCACTTGACCTTGGTACATTTTACCATATTTACTCTATACCAGAGCCAGCTTGTGTATGGTGAGGTATAGTGATCTCTACGTCTTACTTCTGCAAGTCTTCTCTCTGCTGGGAGCACAGACCTTTGGAATCCCTGTGTCCTCAGCCTGGTCCTTTGAAAAGCTGCTTGTCAATGTTTTGTATGGTTAAAATGAGGTGATCAAAGTATAATTTCACAAATCATAAAATTTATTGTCTTACAGAGATTTTTTTCCCCTGCCTTTTGTTTACAATGTTTAAAGAGACTGCCCATCACAGGGAGTACAATGCGTAGGTAAGCCCCTCAGCCATGTAGAAAGAACCTCTAATGCAGGGTCCAGTTACTCACTTGGGGCACAGCAGGTCTCTGTGGGAGGTGAAGTCCAATGTCCATATATAATGGTTCTCTGGAGGTAATGGCCTATCAATACTAAGAAACCTGTAAGAGCATGTTTTTTCCCTTCTAGAGGGCAGTGGGTAAGGTTTGGCTATGCTAGACTCAGGCTGTATTGGCCAACTTCAGGTTTGCATGAGTCTAGGTGCTGAGGTAAATGGCTTATATGTAGGGGGGTCTGAGAAGAGATTCAGTTCTAGTTTAGTTCTAGGTGTTTTGTTTTGTTTTTTTTTGAGACAAGGTTTCTTTGTGCAACAGTCCTGACTGTCCTGGAACTCACTTTGTAGACCAGGCTGGCCTTGAACTCACTGACATCTGCCTGCCTCTGCTTCCCAAGTGTTGGGATTAAAGGCGTGCACTACCACTGCCAGGCCAGTTCTAGTTCTTATCACAGCAAAATACATGCTGCTCATACAGCAAATGATGTAAGAGTTGGGAATTATTCTGGAGTGAGTTTTAGAAAGAACCTTTGGAAGTTCTCAGGGCTAGGGGAGTGGGGTCTTTTAAGAATGGGGTATTCAGCATCCAGAGTTAGATTGAAGGATGGCTCTCTGATCCTAAAAGCTCAAGGTGGGCTGCAGAGAGAGGACTCATGAGCAGGCTGACAATGCAGGGCTATGCAGCCTTCTGCACATTCCCTGGATATGGGTCATTATCCCCTGGTCTGGCACCTGGGCAGTACCCCCGCCCCTGAAACTCATATGCCCTATTTTTCACTCTGGGTTTGGGCACAGTGATAAGAGCTGTTTCTGTT